TTAAAATATTAAAAAAAAGAATTTTAAAATTTTCAAACAGTACCGATTTTGTTTCTTTAAATTCTCTCTACCCAAGTATCCGCTCATTCAAAAGAGGTGGTTACTAATTACGACCTTATCACGTTGATTGTTTCCTTTTAATTTATCTCTACCCAAATATCCGCTCGTTCCAAAAGATTGGTTACCAAATATTTCTACCCAAATATCCGCTTATTCACAATAACTTTTTCGATGGAATGATTATATAAATAAATCGTTGTATTTAATGAATTAATGAGGCGTGTGAAAAGGACATTAATGAGGCGTGTGAAAAGAACATAATAATTGTTGTTTTTGGAAAATAATTAATGCATTTCAGACATTGACCAAAAATTGACTTACTAATTATGATAAATGTTAATTCTTATTATATATATAGATTAATTTCAATAATTCTCTCACTTAATTGTATTTTAATATTTGACTCTTATGTCTTAGATAAGTAGTTTAATAAGTAGTTGATATTGTATCATTTCTTTCAATATTATTTCATTTCAACGATTTGTTTTTAATTTCTAATATTGTATTAGTATTTATAATTAAGTTGTGATACAATATTTTCTTATTTCAAACTATTTATAAATCAGTTAAAAAAATATTATTTAAAGTATATTTATTTTTTTATAATTGTACAAGTTAACCAGAATCGACCAAAACCATGTGGTCAGATCGGTCAATTTTTGTCCTTTTTATAGAGCATTTGCTTTTTTTTTTTTCTTTTTTTTTTAATTATAGCGTATATTGCAATTGAGCCACATTTATATTCTCCATTAGTATGACTTGTTGTTGGCTTTGTTTATATGACGTGAACTTATTTACTCAATTATAAAATATTTTCATATTATTATTATTTATATTTTTTTCATATTTAAATCATCTTTGGCCCCTGTTCTATTACCCTTTTGGGGTCTTTCATTACCCTTTTGGGGTCTTGTAGTCTGTATCTTTTGCACTTTTGTGCTTTTTAATAGAACATCTATCGTTCCGAAAAAAAAAAATCATCTTAATAAATATTTAAAATATTAAATATTTCTTTTTCCTAAATAATTATAAGTTCAACATAAATTATAATGATAAAATATGTTGATGTCCTTATAAGTAATTTTACATGTTAACAACTAATTAAAAAAAACTAATTTTACCAAACATTTTTTACAAACAGCTAACACGATCAGCTGGTCAAAACAGTTAATACAATCTGCTGGTCAAAACAACTAATACAATCAGCTAACAGCTAACAGTTAACAGCTGATTACCAAACAAGGCCAATATGTTTTTATATATTTTCTATAAAATTATAGATTTGGCCTATGGGTTAATTAGTAATATAGTAAAATATTTTCAAAATTGCAGATTAACCCAGTGCTATATCTGTAATGATCTAAAACTTTTTGCAAATCAATCCTTAGGATTTATCAAATTTCTAAAATGAAGTCCTCTCTCCAAAACGTTTTCTAGCCTTCTCCGATGTCGGCACCGGCGACGGATCTCCCGCCCAGCCCCAAAGCGACAATGGAACTCGACTGTTGCCGTCATTCATCAACTCCGACGACTCAGTCGGCGACCCCGACGTGCGCTGCTGCCAGAGACCTATTAGCACTGCCTTCGAACGGCGGCGAGTGGCGGACGAAGATCAAAATCCGTTGCTCACGGCCGGAGACGACAAGCGCAGACCGATTGAATGTGTTAAGTGCTGCGGTGAGGGAAGGTACGACGAAATTTGCAGAGGCGGTGGTGGCACGGCGGAGGCGGAGGTGTGTCAGTGGCAGAGTCGTGATGACGGCGGCGACTATGGATGGCCGAATGTTTGTCGCAGAGTGTGTGTTCCGCCGGCGAGTGTGTGTTGTGTGTGTCGCGTGCGTGTGTGTACTGTGTAATGCGTGTGTGAGAAGACAGAGTACGTGTGTGAGAGAGATAAATATGATGAGGTGTATTAGAGCATCTCCAATGGCTCCTCCATTCTTCTTTTCTATTGCCACATAGCACAAATAATCAAATGTGGCATGATAAATGTCTAGAAAGACTTCTAGATATAGAAGTCATTCTAAACAACTTCCACAATATATTATATTATTTATTTAATTTATCTTTTTTTTTCAACCAATTACAGTTTTACACATCACAATTTATACCACAATTAATGCTTACCATTGGAGACACATTTTTTTAATTTCCTTTCTTCATGATATTCAATACAAAATGGACAATGTTCCATTAGAGATGCTCTTAGTTGGCAAATCTTGTTAATGGGTATTAGCAGGCTTTTTCAAACATTTATTAATTTGTATTAATGAATTAATGTATATGGGGCTCACTTCTTTGAATGTGGTGTGGAAAAATACCAGAATACCCTTAATGAAGGTATATGTTTGGCTTTTATTTAACCTGTTGGATCATTCAATTCTATGGATGAGATTTATTCTCATTTCTTTCACTGAGACTCTTTCTCACTAGAACCCAACCCTATATATATGAGAATTTACCGTGTAGTTAAAAATTGAAAATTTTAAAGTCAAATAAGTAATTATTTACAAGTTACGGGTCAGTAGGAACTTGGACGTAAATAAAAAAATATTTATTGTAAATAAATTACTCAACTATTTAATTTTTTTGATTTGGCTAGCTTATAATAAAAAAAATCTATTTTAATTAACGAAACAATAGAAGTTTTATAATTATACTTCTTATTCACATGAATTCTTAAATATATGATAAAATTTTATCAAAAGAATTATTTTATGGAATCACATTATAGTCAAATCGAATTTCTGAATAAAAAATTTAAACTAACACTTATTTCGAAATGAATATGATGCAATTAATTATTAGTTACGTGCAGCGTGTGAGTTGAATACTAATTTTAAATAGATATATCTTATGTGATTTTGCACAATTTAAATTTGTATAATATATTTAATAAATTAATAAAAGTAAATTGTATAACATATAAAGTACATTTTTTTCAATTTATAAATATTTTAATTTATAGAATTAATTAATGAATATCTTTTACTCGTGCATCGAGATTTGTACTAGTTTTAGGATATAAAGAGAGAGCAGAATTTGGTATATTTTACAAGAATTTAAGTAACACTTATTAAATAACACAGTAAAGGTGCGCAGAAGACCACGAGCCGAGACTAGACATGTTCACGGGTCGAACCGACCCGCAAATCGGCACCGTAAACCGGCCCGCGAACCGGCAACGCCCCGGCACAAACCGGCCCGAATTGGGAACCCTAATAGCCAGTTCGTTGAACCGGACCCGTAGGGTCACGGTTGGTCCCGGTTCTATTTTTTTGTATTTTGGTCCCGACGTTCCGGGCCGGGCCGGGCCGGGCCGAGTCGGACGGCGGGCCACATTGTAATATTTTTTGTTTTTAAGGGCGTCCCGACCCGTGAACCGGTCCGTGAACCGCCGGGTCGGTTTATAGAACAGGTCCTTGGTTTTTAGCGGGCCGGTCACGGGCATGCGTTGGAGGGCCCGTGGCCTGGCGGGCCGGGTTTTGGCCCGTTGACTGGCCACCACTAGCCGAGACCCCGTAATGCAATCGCTGCTTATACTACTACTTGTCGTATAACCGCGGACCACAGATCTGCCTTTTCTAGATTCCCTCACAAGCCCCTCCAAGAAAAAGAAAACATAAAGCATAGACCCCTGGCAGTTTCTAGAGACAGATTTCGAAACCCTGCAATAACACATCTATCTCGCCCCAGTTCTGGTATTTATTCTGAACCTATAAGCACGCGTTATGCGTGTATTGCTACGGTATTCGACCGATCGGAAGGCTGCGGACTGTTAGTGGAGGCTGTAGCCTGTAAGTGTGCTTTAATATCTGTGATTGTGGTTTTTGTGTTTAATCTGAATTTCTTGGCTTAAGTAGCGTCCGCTCAAAACTTGTGGCTTAGTCTACTAGATTTCTCTGTATATTGATATTTTCCTACCAAATTTGTGATTTTGCACTGACCGTTGTCCTTCTTTCGTCGTGTCTGCTCCAGGTTTTTACTATTGTTGGATTTGGCGACTTGTTGATATCTAACATTTATTAGATTTTTTGGTTTATTCATTGATGGGCAAAGGAGGGCAGAATTATGGTAAGAGTGAAAATTTAGGTATTAATATGAAGGAACCAAAAAGGGACTATTATGAGGCATGGTCGAAAGATACAAAAGAGTGCGAGGAGAAGTATCAAGTAAGGAGGGAATACGGCTTTTCAGCCGATGATGTGGAGAAGAGGAGGCAGATCTATGGGTTCAATGAGCTGGAAAAGCATGAGGGTCCCTCAATTTTTAGATTAGTTCTGGATCAATTTAATGACACGTTAGTCAGGATTTTACTGGTAGCAGCAGTGGTTTCTTTTGTGTTGGCATGGTATGATGGGGAGGAAGGTGGGGAGACGGAGATCACTGCCTTTGTGGAGCCTTTAGTGATATTCTTAATATTGATAGTGAACGCCATTGTCGGGGTTTGGCAGGAGAATAATGCGGAAAAGGCAATGGATGCTTTGAAGGAAATCCAGTCGGAGCATGCAACTGTTATTCGTGAGGGTAGGAAAATTTCTAATTTTCCGGCTAAGGAGTTGGTTCCGGGAGATATTGTGGAGTTGAGAGTAGGGGATAAAATCCCAGCCGATATGAGGGTTCTAAGCTTGGTCAGCTCAACCCTGCGGGTGGAGCAGGGGTCATTGACTGGGGAGAGTGAGGCCGTTAGTAAGACAACTAAACCTGTTGCAGAAGATGTGGATATTCAGGGAAAGAAGTGTATGGTTTTTGCGGGGACCACCGTGGTGAATGGGAATTGCATATGTTTGGTGACTCAAACTGGGATGAACACAGAGATTGGTAAGGTGCATTCGCAGATTCACGAGGCGTCCCAGAGTGACGATGACACGCCTTTGAAGAAGAAGCTGAATGAATTTGGAGAGGTTTTGACAGCTATCATTGGAGTAATCTGCACTTTGGTCTGGCTGATAAATGTGAAATATTTTCTTTCGTGGGAGTTTGTCGATGGGTGGCCGAGGAATTTCAAGTTCTCATTCGAGAAGTGCACTTACTACTTTGAAATTGCTGTGGCTTTGGCCGTGGCGGCTATCCCGGAAGGTTTGCCTGCGGTTATCACAACTTGTTTGGCGCTTGGCACGCGCAAGATGGCTGCCAAAAATGCGCTTGTTCGCAAGCTGCCTAGTGTTGAGACACTTGGCTGCACCACTGTGATATGCTCTGATAAGACGGGTACGCTGACCACCAACCAGATGGCAGTGGCCAAACTTGTGGCTATGGGTTCTAAGGGCAATCTTCTTAGGTCCTTTCATGTGCAAGGAACTACATATGATCCTTTCGATGGGAAAATAGAGAACTGGCGTACAGGTCAGTTGGATTCAAACCTTCAGATGATTGCAAAGGTTGCTGCTATTTGTAATGATGCTGGTGTGGAAAAGGCTGGTCATGATAAATCTGGACATTATGTTGCCAATGGAATGCCGACTGAGGCTGCACTTAAGGTATGTATGGGCTATTTGAAATTTATAATGTATATGTGTGTGTGTGTGTGTTCTGATGATAATGTTATCTATTGCCTAATGAGTAACTAGACATTCATATATGTACTAAAGGCTGCGCTTGACACAATTGTACTTCCAGGTCTTGGTTGAGAAAATGGGTCTTCCAAATGATTTAAGTTCTGACCTTTCTTCAGGATATGATGGTGTCTTGAGTAAGTTTTTATTCTTAACTGATTATTGTGGATTATGTTGAGTTTACGTACTGTTATTTTGAGTTTCAATTGGCTTATCTAAGGGTGCTCCTACACGTGGAATAAACTGGATCATCGTATTGCCACCCTTGAATTTGACCGTGATAGGAAGTCCATGGGAGTCATTGTGAATTCTAGTGCTGGGAAAAAGTCCTTGCTTGTAAAGGTAATTCCTGTTTGCTATTGCTTTCACTTTCTGATTATATAGGGATCTGACATGTAGTTAGTTGTTATAGGAAATTGGTGGTTTCTTTTGTTATTTATTCATGTGAATTCTTTTAGAGGCATTCATAATATAACTCAACAGATGCAAAGTAACTCACATTTATCTGTTTATATTTTAGTATATTCACCTGGAAAACTACAAAAAATTGTTGTCCAATTGGATGTGCAGTTATTTCTCTTTTGTTGTTTTTGCGTCTTATTTGTTTAGTAACTCATTTGTCAACTAACAGGGTGCAGTGGAGACGTTATTGGAAAGAAGCTCCTTTGTGCAGTTGCATGATGGCTCTATTCAAGAACTAGACCAAGGTTTAAGAGAAATTATACTGGGGAGCCTTAATGAAATGTCCACTAGTGCACTGCGAGTTCTGGGTTTTGCATACACGGATGACCTCCCAGAGTTTGCTACATATAACGGAGATGAGGACCATCCAGCACATGAGCTTCTATTGAACCCTGCAAATTATTCTTCAATTGAGAGCAATTTAGTTTTTGTTGGCTTGGCTGGCTTAAGAGTGAGCATGTTTTATGTTTTTTCTTTAAATATTTCTTCTGTTCCACTTGTGTGATATCATCATCAGAATTTTGAATTAACAGTTTTGCTTCATTAAATTGTGAAGGATCCTCCTCGGAAAGAAGTTCCTCAAGCACTTGAGGATTGTAGAACAGCCGGCATCCGAGTTATGGTGATTACAGGTGATAACAAAAATACAGCTGAAGCAATTTGTCGTGAAATAGGTGTCTTTGGCTGTCATGATAATATCAGTTCAAGGAGCTTAACTGGAAAAGACTTTATGGAGCTCTCCAGTCAAGACAAAGAAAGACATTTAAACCAAGACGGTGGTCTTCTTTTCTCAAGGGCTGAACCTAGGCATAAGCAAGAAATAGTGAGGTTGCTTAAAGATTTAGGTGAAGTGGTTGCAATGACTGGGGATGGAGTGAATGATGCACCTGCCCTAAAGTTGGCTGATATTGGGATTGCAATGGGTATTGCTGGAACGGAGGTGATTACTTATGAACTAAAATTCTTTGCATTCATAGGCAGTTTGTGAATTGGTTTTATGCACTTTGGTTTTAGAATATCCAGCTCAATGCTTTATCATTACGTTCCTTGCTGTCACCTACGAGTTTCACCTTTATGTAATTTTACGTTCTGTAGCATGTGTTCTGGCCTTCTGGGTCCTTTCTTTTTAAAAATAATATTTTTGTACTTGTTTGAGCAACAAATGTCAAAACACTATTGTTTGATGTCTCCTTTTCCTTTCTAGGTTGCCAAAGAAGCTTCAGACATGGTTTTGGCTGATGATAATTTCAGCACAATTGTTGCTGCTGTTGGTGAAGGCAGGTCCATTTACAATAACATGAAGGCTTTTATTAGGTAATACTCGTATTCTAATGTTCATCTTTACTAGCTTATATATTAGATTATGTAAATTTTGAGCGAATGCGGATGGTGATTCTCAGTTACTTTCCAAATGTTTTTACTGATGTTTGAGCCTTGAGGCTGTATTTGCTGGTCTGTTTGGACAAAATTGTGAATATCCCATTTGATTAATATATAATGGTACGTATATATGTGTTTCTTATACCATTATCCTTTAAGGGGGCAGTTTAGTTGGGAGCTATTCTACACCTGAGGTAAAAAGTAGAACCACACTTACGCAATTTACAAGGGCTTTATATTAAGCTGTTGATTGGAGTGAGTTAGATTGACATTGAGTAAAGTATTTTGCTAGGAAGTTACTTCTGTCTATTTATGTGGATAGTTCATAGTTGTATATCAATGTGCTGATGATTTTGAGTGTTGTGTGCTAGGAAAGGGCGATTTGTAGAAGTTCAATTCATGTAACCGATGTCATCAATTTGCTAGTAGATTTCTATAATATTTTTATTCCATACTTTATGAGTAGAAAATTTAGTATGTGAGAAAGCTAAGGGGGTGATTGTTTATGAGTTGTACAGTAATTTTTTTTACTCAAATTCAAATTTAACTCAACTTTAACTCAACCCCACTATCTTCAATATTATTATATAATTAAATAACATCAACAAATCATTATTACATATCACATCAACTTTAATTCACTATTCATCTACTCACATAATTTTAACTAATTTTAACTAACTATCACTTCCAATCATTTTATCTTACTTTTACATCAAATCAACTTTAACTATTTTATTTTAAATACTATTTTAATATATCCACTAACAATTAACCACACTACTTTTTCTTAAACTTAACCATAATTAAAAAATTCTAGATTTTTTACTATTCAAAACATAAACAATCACCCCCTAATTTTTCCTTAAATTATGATGTAGAGGATCTTTAGAAGTACTTCCCAATTGGTGTTGATATTTAATAATCAAAATTTTAAATGACCTAGAAAACTCCCAATTCTAGAGTTCATTATTTGAACAAGCAACAATGTTTTAAAATCCCCCTTTATATTAATCCAGAACGCGCTGAGCCTGCCTACGTGGCTGCTTCTGGTGCTTCGGAATCCTATGTGCAAAATTACATGCTTCGTTATTAGGCTTGAGTAAATTTTAATTTAATTCCAAACCAAAAATAATTAGGTTCGGATTACCATAAATTTATTTATGGTCATGTTACATATATTAATTGCATTTTAATATCATTCTTTATTATAACTATTGAATTGTACATATATTTTAAAAGTTAATAATTTTTGTATTTTTTATCAGTTTTACATATGTAATATATCAAATTAATCTTCTTCGATTTAACATCCATATTGTATGTATTAAAAAATAATTTATATTTATCGTTATAACAATAATAAAATTATTTTTAATATTAATTAGAAAAATAAAATTATTTATCAACTAATATATTTATATTTCAAGTAGTTATATGATATACGTTATAAAAACTAATATAATATAACACATGTAAGTCATAAGTAACACATCATTCTAAAATATATAGTAATATATTTTTATGTAAAAAAGTAAACTAAATTTAATATAGTTTTCTCATTAATTTTAAAATTTAAGAATAATTTTTTAACAAGCACCCGTGTAATACACGGGTGTTGTCCTAGTGTTCTATGATTTGCAATATTGGTAATTCTAGGAAGGTACAATGTACCTGATAAGCTCCTTGGTCCTATTCCATTATATCTATTAGCTTTTACCAATTGTGAGCATTGAACTTGTTGAAAGACCTGGAATTTTGTTATTTGCTGTGTAATTGTTACACATTTGTAGTGAACATGGATACAACAGCAAATACCGATTTAGGTTTGAGACAATGATGATTGCATGGCATTTTGTTGTTGAATAAATACAGTTAGAACAAAAAAGGTGGCTTTTAGTAGAGACGGAAGCTAGAAAATTAATGTTCCTTTTGTTCTATATGAAGATGGAGGAATACAAGCCAGCTTTTATATGCTGCAAGTGCTTAATCACTTATCACAATCAAGCTTTATAATTGTTTCCTGCATTGCAGATACATGATCTCTTCAAACATTGGTGAAGTTGCCTCAATTTTTCTAACTGCTGCGTTAGGCATTCCAGAGGGTCTAATACCAGTGCAGCTTCTGTGGGTTAACTTGGTCACTGATGGGCCCCCAGCTACTGCTTTGGGATTCAATCCACCAGACAAGGATATAATGAAGAAATCCCCTAGAAGAAGTGATGACTCACTGATCAGTCCCTGGATTTTATTCCGTTACCTGGTATGCTTATTATACTATGATATAATTACAAACATGATCCTCAGGTTTACTCTAATTAGGAAAAAGGACCATTTATCTATTGAGATTACAAATATTCCTGAGACTTTATATTTACCTCATATTAACACATCTCCTGAGCATGAGCTTTTCCTCCAGCGAGAGGTGAATAAATACAGGGCTACTTTTATTTTTAATTTCAAACGGTAAAGTGGGTTCAAGTATAATCTGGCTAAACCAAAGGTGCTGGATGTTCAATTAATCAATGACTTTTTCCTTGTTTGATGTTAGGTTATTGGATCATATGTGGGTTTAGCCACTGTGGGAATATTCATAATCTGGTACACACGCTCGTCTTTCCTCGGTATCGATCTCAGTGGAGATGGCCACAGCCTCGTGACCTACTCCCAGCTTGCCAACTGGGGCCAGTGCCAGAGCTGGCAGAACTTTACAGCCTCGCCTTTCACAGCTGGGAATCAGTTGATCCATTTTGACAACCCATGTGACTATTTCCAGACGGGCAAAATCAAGGCTATGACTCTGTCCTTATCGGTGCTTGTTGCCATTGAGATGTTTAATTCACTTAATGCCCTTTCAGAGGACGGCAGTTTGCTGTCCATGCCGCCGTGGGTCAACCCTTGGTTGCTTTTGGCCATGTCGATTTCGTTTGGTCTGCATTTCTTGATCCTCTACGTACCTTTCCTTGCTCAGATATTTGGCATTGTGCCCTTGAGCTTCAATGAATGGCTGTTGGTTTTGGCTGTGGCTCTTCCGGTGATTTTGATCGATGAGGTTCTGAAGTTTGTGGGAAGATGGACAAGCGGTATCAGAAGGTCGAGTGGAGGAAGGCTTTCGAAGGCAAAGGCAGAGTGAAGATGAAAACTAACTGGGCTTTCAGCTGAGAATATTGAGGGTTTGTTATTATGAATGTTGTTCTTATTGATGGCCTGAAGAAATGGTGATGGTAACTGATAAGGGTGAGGTGCCACATTTTATTTTTTTCCCCCTCCTGACCCTTGTTTTAGAATAAAGACAACAGCAGAAGATTTTTTTCCCCCTTATGAAGGCCTATGGATTTAGAATATTATTCGTTAGACATTGTAGTACTTCTGAGATAAACAAATTGTTAGCTAATTTTTGTTTACCCAGTCATGCCTTGGTTATTGGGCAAAGTTTGTTACAGCAAAAGAAAACAAAAGAGAAAAACATTGTGTTAAAAATGTACCTCGTTTTTCTTGTTCACTTGTTCTGTTGCTCGTCTTGATGGTACTGATACTGTCAAGTTGCTCCCACGTTAAATATTCAAATATTTTTTATATTGTAGGGAGTTTTATTGGCATTATTTTGTATAACAGCATTTGATATACAATTTTATTTAACTTTTTTTTTTTTTTTTTT